AGATGTATATATTATACTCAAAGATTCAGACTACAAATGGGTTCCTTGCTTATTCATGTAATAAAAATATCAATATGTTGCACCTAAATGAAATACTAATTTAAAGATGGGAATAAGATCAGGTAGGTCAAAGAATTCACATGGAAGAAGACAACTGACTTGAAATCTATATATACATCTGAGCCCAGATATTATTGAAGACTGCAAAATAAATATGGAGGACATTTATAATCTCTTCTTCTATTCCTAACCAACTTTCAAAGAGTAGAAATATATTTAAAATATTCTCACTACATCTCTGAAATAATAGCTCATTTTATCTTTAATGCAGAACTGTTTTGTTTAAACATGAGAATTTATGTGCATAATTTAAAAACGACAAATTCATTTTCCAAAGATTTATGAATTAATTGGGAAGATCACTTAATGTTTAAGAACAAAATATACATATCATTTTTTAGAGTGTATACATAAAAATGGTTTAAATTTGTAATATTTTTATAAATGCTACATATTAAAAATATTTTATAAACTGTACATTGAAAGTCTCCTACATAAAATTGTTAAAAGTAGATAATGGGTTACTTGAGTGTTTACAAAGATAATTTCTAATCTCATATAATGGTTTTTAAGCATCATTTGTTTAATACTATGTTAATTGAGTGTGTCTTTAACAAATTCTAAATGTTTCCACTCAGAGCCAAGCCAACTGATAAAAGATACTGATGAATTCTACAATATGGTAGACAAGTATCTAGCTTTTATTTAAGTCTTGAGACTAATTGCTGGTGAACTTAAGCTGTTATATGACAAGTTACAACTGTATTTCCAGGCCATATTCTGCTTTCCTTTAGACTCTGACTCAAAAATGGGCATATCTTTGTATTATCATTTTAATTTTATATCTGAATATGATAACATGAGATTCTCCAAGAAAAGGATAAACCTTTTACATATTATACACACACACACACACACACACACACACACACACACATATATATCTATATATAGATATATAGATATAATCACTAAACATTGTGTTAGTTGGCTATGTTCACTGCTGTTACTTTAAAATAATAAAAAAAAAAAACACTGACTATTTTTGCTAATTGTTCAATTTGCTTACTCTAAAAGTTGGCCTGCAGAACAGGTGTGAAATTGAGAGGTCAGCCATTTTCAAAGGGCATGGCAACTGTTGGGAAGATTGAGTTTCTTACACTTTATACCTTGTGATGTTTGTTGATTTTTAAGTTACTGAGTTACTTTATCTGAAAACATGTCATGTTCTATTAATTATCACATTAGCCAATGAACAAAGATATACATTATTATCCTTTTAATGTACATTCTATACATTACTTTCTATGAAATCAAATGAAGAGGATGTTTTATGTTCTAGGAAGCATTCATACATACAGAAAATCAATTTAATTGTTAAGAGGAATGGAGAGAAAGGATTGTCTCTCTTTCCACATCTCAAACCAACCATACTACTATATTTTGTCTCCACAATCTCTTTGCATCTTTCTACCTTATCTTTGGTAGTTTACTAAAACATGCTAGCTTTTTTCTTTTTCTTTTTTTAATTAAGTTTATTTATTTTAAAGTCAGACCTCAGAGTATCCTATTCACATTTCTGGAACAGGATAGGAAGAAGACAGCATTGCAATTCAATTCTAGCCACAAGTGTTGAGTTGACTAAGGATTCCTACAAAATACACCAGGCCTTGAGAGGTATAAGAGGGAAGAAGAAACCATCGTCCCTGTCCTGAACAAGAAGGCAGTCCAGTAAGTCAAATGCCCAGTGCATGCAAAAAATTAGTGTCCTAACAGATCTGAAAATAGAGTTATCCTACCACTATCTGAAATAGTAGGAGATTTCAAAAGGATGTGGGCTTGAGCTGTACACAGAAAATGTGCAGAGTTGGATAGAGAAAAATGGATAAAGACAACTGAAAGTGACCTGTAAACAGAGGGGCATACATGAGCAGTCACAAAGAAACCAGATGAGCATATTCTAGGGACAATGTGACTGGCTTGACTGACAGAGGACTTGAAGCAGAGAGCAGTGGAAATAAGGCTGCGTGGTGCAGGGAGGATGATATGAAGGGCAAAGCTGATGCACTAATTCCAATCAAGACCAGTAACATAATTAGGCATTGAAATAAATTGCAAAATCAGATCTTGGAAACATCTCAGCCAATAAAAATTATTTTATTATTGATTTTCCCATGCCCCTCTTTACTTTATCATAGATATAAAGAATTTGATATATTAGGAAAAGACTTAAGAAAATTTCCACATAATATATGGTTTTATATTTGAAAAATGAATGTAATATGTATGTATTTAATAAGTATAGAAATGACACAAAATAAAAATACTGAACATTTTAAAGAGTTGTTTAATAAGGTTTTAACACACTAAAATGACATTTCTTGTAAAATGTGATCAAAGTTAGATACTTCGTAAGATACAGTAAAGGCAGCTATGCATGCAGAAATCATCCTTGCTATGATGATTAACTTTTTTAAGTTCTTATGATGATTTCAAATGCTTCTTAAATAATATTTGGAAAGTCAGTTAAATAACCATTTTTTTATTGCATGTAGAAAAAAGCATAACTAAGTATTTTAATCTTTTGATTGTAATATTACAAATATGTCTGTTAATAAGTTTATGTTGCTAAAAGTCAAATAAAAGAGATAAAATAAGTTACATTCTTTTATAAATAATTACAGTCCATGCACCTGTGTTCATTAAGTAATGTAGTGTTTTTGTATTAATATGATATGGTATTTTGACTGAAACTCTTAAAGATAAAATGAGCCTAGCTGGTGTGGCTCAGTGGTTGAGCATTGATCCATGCACCAAGAGGTCACCAAGTTTCATTCCTGGTCAGGGCACATGCCCAGATTTTGGGCCTGATCCCAAGGTGGGGGCATACAGGAGAAGGCCAATCAATGTTCTCTCCTATTGATTTCTCTATGTCTCTACCTCTCCCTCCCTCTCTCTCTAAAATCAATAATGAAAAAAAAAAAAAAAATAGAATGGAAAAGCCAAGCTATTAAGAACCAAAGAAATGCTAACCTTAATGCCATTGTAATTTAGATCTGTCAACAAAGTTATCAGGACAGAGATTTTAGAAATAGTATTCTAGGTACAGTCTACAGTATTACACTTGTATTTAATAAAAATGTGCTTTCTCAATCAAATATTTGCCCTAAGTTCTACTTCATGATATTTATATTAGTTCAACTAAAAATTAAAGTCAAGCATTCAATTTCAGTGGGACTTGAGAAAAGATGCAATTAGGGTATTCGGAAATGGTTATGTACCTAATGAAAATTACAGAAATAATTTACTGCCATAGAAAATCAGTTAAGATGCTTCACTCTAATTTTTCTTCCCATAAATGCATGTTTCTTAGACATGTGGAATTATATATATAAGTTTTACTCATTGAATTTATTTTTTTAGGAAAATAAATTACTTTTTTGTCTCTAAAGATCAATGTTATATGCTACAAGAACAAAGTTCATATGAAAAAAAAATCACCCAAATGGGTCCCCTCAGTGCGACTCTTTTACATATTCCTTGCCAAGTCACAAGTTTCAGACTATATACTTATGCTTCCTCCTTGAGGACTAGCGATTCAGGGTATCAAAGATAGTGTGCTCTGCCATAGAATAGAGCACAGGGTTTTCCATATAGCAGTCATTCAGTAATGGTTGTTTAAATTAATTGTATAAGAATATTTGCATTGTCTCCATGTAACTAAAATGACTAGTTCCATTATTTCACAGACTTAGCCATGGATAATAACACCAGCCAAAATCACTGCTTTATTGGACAATCATTTCTCCCTTAGCCGATTTCCATTATCTACTTATTTTCCTAGTTTAAAATTTGAGTTATTATCTAACAAACCTAATAATTATATAATAATTATCATCAGTGATTAGTTGTTCATCTAAATACACTTTGAGGGATTATTTATTGTCTTATAATAAGAAAAGATCAAAAATTTGTTTGAGGACAAAAAATACTACCAACTAGAATAGTTCATTTGGAAGTATATATATATATATATTTATATATATTTTTCTATTATATATATATTTTATATATATATATATTTTATTAAAAAATATATATATATATATTTTAGGCTAAGTGTTTAATGAAGGTTTGGTTTTCCACAAGGGGATTGCTGGTCACACTGCAGAAATAGTTTATATACATATATTACCCAGATCTGCTATTCTTTTTTTTTTGTTACAGATGTTTCTTTTTTTTTAACCCATTGACACCCTCCTCCCCATCCCCCCCACCATGTCCCCAGCTTTGTTGCCCATGTACATTGGTTATGCGTACATGAATATACGTTCTGTGGTTTATCTCTTCCCTCTCCCCACCACCCCCTCTTCTGAGGGTTGTCGGTCTGTACCCTACTTCCATGTCTCTGGGCCTACCCTATTCCTCAGACTGTTATGTTTATTTGGAAGTATTTATAAATTATTATTATTTAAAGCTTTATAGGTATAATTTTATTCTAAAGCAATGCTTGCAGAACTTTGAAATTTCCAACTCTTTATAATAGTTGACATTAAAATTGTTCAACTATGTTACATAGTCTCCCTTTGTAAGAGAGAAACTGCTTAAAGACTGGCCACCCACAAAATTTTGTAGAATTGAAAGGTCATCCCCAAATTATTTCAGTCTTTCTCAGATTTGGCGTATGAATGTCCTGATGTTGTAGGTATAAGGGAGTGGAAAGGTATGTGTGTATATGAATTATTATCTAAGCAAGTAATGTGTTTCTTTTATTTAAATTTAAATTTACATTTTTTTTTTTTTTTTTTTTTTTGGTACATGCCCCTAGTGGAAACCGAACCTAGGACTCTCTGGTCTGCAGGCTGATGCTCCAACCACTGAGCCAAACCGGCAAGGGCAAATTTACATATTTTAATATACATGTGTGTTAAATTTTTAAAATTGATGTTGAAAGATTTGATCTATCAAAATGTACTGACAAATGATACAGTGGTTAACGCAAATTTCATGGTCAATACTGAATAAACAATACAAGTTCTTTGCCATTGTCCATTTTTTATCCATTTTTAAAAATTATAGTATTCTTAGGGGGAAAAATAAAGCTTTACTGCAAAAGTAATGAATACAAGAAATGGCACTTGAAGTAGTGAAGAGACATGAATCATTGTAATTTCATAGCTTCTTAAGAAGCAACAGCTGTACCTAATTTCAACTTGACGTGCTTCAGATCTCATATTTACATAAGTATTTAATGATTTAAAATAATGGTTCTATATAGAATAATTACTTATATGAAGGAGCAAACATCATACACATTCCTCTTTAAGTGATCCTTTAAGAGAAAAAACTGCACTGGCTCTTTGAACAATGAATAGTCTTTTTTACCAATCCAAATGTTTGGGACTAAATAGCTTATCTTTGAAGAGAGAATAGTAATAGTGCTGAGATTACTTCTTTCTGACAGACTCTTTTTGTCTTCCTCCTTCCCAGTATAGCCAGTATAATGAAAAAAGGTAGAATGCCAAGCCAATCATTAAGTCATACTGGTAGACAGCTACAAGAAATAACAGAAACAAAAGGAAATAAGGTATTTTTGAGTTGATGTATTTCAAAAGCAGAGATTCACTGCTTTGAGCTTGACTTTCCTGGGCAGGAAGATGTGCAGAAGCAGAACTCTCAGATTCCTTGTCACCTGAAAAACATGGTGATTGTCCAGAGTTTAGTAATCCTTCATTGTTATGCCTTGTCTCTTCTATGTTTTCAACAGCTTCAGTGATTAAAATTGTTGGTCCTAAACACTTTTTCACATTATATTCTCCTTGTTGGAAAATCAGTCCTATACATTTTTCTCTTCCACTAACTGATCTCACTGTTCCTAAACTTTTGGAAATATCTTCACCTGTATTCCCAGAATGCAGGTATTTCTCAATACCCTGAATTTCACTTGCTAGATTACAATTATATTCTGATTTAGTAGGAATAGATTGGAAAGTCATGGTAGTAACTGTATTATCTACAGCAATGGCCTGTTCATAAGATAACACTGACGTTTTAGCATGGTGATTGAAAATGTAAGAGCCATTTACAGATGCTCTATTAGTGTCTGAGTTTAAAGTAGAATGAATAATGGCATCTATATCTATTTCCTTTGATAATTCTTGGATCTGCCCATGATCTCTATTTTCAGGAAATAATTTTTTGTCTGTTGGTAACATTCCTAAATGCAAATTCAGTTTTGAGGCTGTGTTTTGATTGCTTCTAATTACCTGTAAGGATTCTTCTACAGATGTTATATTTCCAGTGCTATGTTTCTTCCTGTCATGTGTCTTCACAGGATTGTACATAGATATAGTTTTTTCACTCTCTGTTTCATCTACATATGCATTACAAATACCTAAATATGATTTTTTTTCAAAATCACTGTCATAGGTTATACCTACTGTATCTCCTTGACAAAAGGTATAAAGTGAATCATCATTTCTCCCTTCATGTGGATCAAACACTCCTTCCTTTACCTCAATAGGCCTGTCACTTTGTGCTGTCTCTTGAGGTAGCTTAGCAATTATTGCTTTTTCTCTAGCAGACATGCTTTCTAGAGTACTTTTTGATATTGTCTTAATTATATAAGCTGTACCTGCTTCTGTTTTCTCAGTAATGTGATCATCTAAAGAAGACAGTTCACAGCTCACTGTTTCTTGGCAGGTAAACAATTTTTCTGTAGGCGTAGCAGTCATAATCCTTGTATTGTCTCTTTTTTCCCACATGTCTTCCCATTCTCCATGTTCTTTGACCTGCTGGGTTGTATTTGTCTTATCCTCTCTTGTTTTTCTCTGACTTCCCAGAAAATTCCATCGTTGTTTATGCTGTGTGTTATTGTGATCTTCAGGATTAATCATATCTAAATTTTCTCCTTCCACTTGGAAAATATCATCATTCCTCAAAATATTTCCATTTTTTGGTGAACAAACTTGATTAGGCCTCTCTTCTGAAGCAGTACCTTTACTAGTCGAGAGATCAGGTTCTGTGGTTGTTAACACAGCTTCTTCCAAACTTAGAGTTCTTCTGGGCCTTTGAGATGAATCTGCTCTGAATGCCTGGTTGAGAGTTGTGATATCTTTACTGGGCAGAACAATCAGTCCTCTGCTACTAACTCCAATCCCTTTCACACTTATTTCAGAGTGGCTCATCTTTTCTTGGTCATGTAAGATTGATTGAAGATTTTTGCTTTGTTTTTCATTAATACCTAGATGTATTATTTCCTTCTCATTCTTACCATTCTCATAATCTTTCTGGGAAAATTCTTTTTCTATTGATTCTTTCAAATGGAAATCTCTTCTTAAACATTCCTGATCTTTCATTTTAATTTTCATAGCTCCTCCTTCATGTTTTTTATTAAGATTGTCTGCTATTAGCTGATCTGAGGAGGGACAGGACATTTGCACTCTGCCTTTCCTTTGAGCTGGATTAACATTATCATTCAATACTTCTTTGTTACTAATATGCACTAATTGTACTAATTCATCACTATCAGTATTTCCCAGTGATGGCTTGATTTTTCTCATCTCTGAAGTAATTTCCTCTGTAGGTTGATGACTACCCTTATTTCCTGAGAAATATTTTTCATTGCAGTAAAAATCTTCCTTTATGGAGCTTTCTACTGATGAACTTGGAGACAAAGTCCTTTTAAGCAAGTCAGTGTATACTTCATCATGAATATGCTTCTTCTCTAATATCTCTGCTTTATTTGGAAAACTGACTGGATCTGTTGAAAATGAATTCTTTTCATCTCTGGAAGCAGTGCTTCTTATTAAGCCTTGATTTATCTTAAGGAATAAAAATGAAAAGAAGTAATGACCAAATTATTTTAAATATACAAAATGAATTAGATAGGTTTTATTAATTTGGCTAGATTTTCCTGTCTCATTTCATTTGTAGATTTAGTACAAATTCTGGAAGGTAGGTGTTTTGGGGGATCCTTGTAGGGTATGACTTATGAATGATATTAATAAGGGGCCAAAATTAATCACTCTCCTTTTCACTTTCTAAATTTTATATTACATTATTCAACTATTCTTGCTTGTCATTGCACTTTCTCCTCACTTAGGATATACACATTGATAGCTCCATGCTAATCAAATAGAGAGCAGCTTCCTGGGTGCCCCTTACTGTATTTCACACTTGCTGTAGGTGCCCGTCTTACAGTTTCTCTTATTAATATGTTTTCTGCAAAGCTTCTGCAAACTATTAATAGCAAAACGTCACTCAAAGAAAAGCGAGGGAGTTAATGTCTGCAAATTCTGTTTTAATGACCCTCTGCCAACTGGTACTCAAATGTATTTGAGCTTTTCAGTGATGCCAACTGTCAGAATTTAACCGTGAGATGCCTGTGTTTTTTTTTTTCCCCCCTCCTTATAACTGACATTTGCATGATCTCAATAATTATATGCAAATCTTACGTTTTCCCCTTCTTCTCACATGAGGCTCATGTTACTTGTCAACTGCACAGCTGTCTTGTAAGCCAATGCCAGTGAGTTCCACAGATTTGGTTGTATTTCTATCTATTATAGAGCTTCATTGTTTTATGCATTAATGTCAGCATGGAGCAAATTAGCTTCTAAATTATAGCTCCCTGTTCATTTACTGGAGACACAACCTCAGTAACTTCTAAACAAACTTTTATATTTGAGCCTGCTCATTGTAGTGAGATGTATTGGTGAAGTATGTAATTTTTTAGGGCCCTTTTATTATATTTTGTTGTTTGGAAAAAAATGACAGTGTTAACTTTCAGCTGCTGAGAACTCTCACAATGGGTGACAACTTTGTAGTTTCTTAAAGTTAGAGCAAAGTAAATTGCATACTTTAGTGATGCAGCTTCCATATCACTATAGAAAAGGGAGTATGTGGGGGGAAAAGATAAACTCTACTTCTTTTCTGTTTCAGTCCTCACACTTGAAAAGGCAAATTTTAATCTTAGGTGATTATGAATCTATGACAAGAGCTCCAACCAAATACAGTAAAGGATAAATTACATTACATGATTCATTTCTCCTGTTTCTTCCCTTGCAGTAAAAATGCTATCTAAACCATCCCCTCAAATTTCAAATAGATTGAACTGTCACCAAGTGTGAAAATTATAACAAATTTAATACTGAGTTGTACAGTACTACACTTGTTTCCTGTTTAAAAATATGGCACAGGATATTTTCTCTCTATTTTATAATATTATACTTTCTGATAATATAGAACATTGAGATTCTTACAAGATGTAAGTTAAAAAAAAAAAACTGCTGCTAAATGAAATACTTGTAGTGCTGCACAAAACCCTAACAATTATCTAGTCCAGCCCTATCATTTTACAGATGAGTTTATGCTAAGAGTACACATGTCACAAGATTAGAAATGCGCATCAGAATAGTGCTCCCTCTTCCGCAATTCTTATAAAATATTACCCAGAGCTGCTGGTAAAGAGATAAAAAATGAATGTTATTAATTTGCCACTGCAGAGAACAGAAGCAGCATACTGAAATCAAAGTGCCTTGTTGATCAAGCTAGAGACGCAAGGACAGAATAGGTTGTGCTTTCACATTTGCAAATTATATTAGTTGAAGCTACTGAAAGGCTAGCATTGCATCATCTTTGAAGCATAAATGAATTCATTTTCTCTCATACCGTGGCAACCAGAGCACTTACCCTCAACTCTAATTCTTTTTCATCATGGTCCCTTTTTACATCTTTTACATTTTGAATACTGGTTTTCAAGTCTTCATTCTCCTCATGAGAACAAACAATTATTGGGATATGGGTATCTGAAAAGTTAATATAATTGTACCTATGTAAGATTATTATAATTATAGGCTTTAACAAAGCAACAGATTTTGTTTAAAAATTAAATAAGATTACCTGTAATCTTTGAATTCTCAAAGTTATTCTCATATGGTATTACTGATGATTCTTCTTTACTGTTAAATTAAAAAAAAAATGTTAAACATTTTTCTGGGACAATATCTTCTAAGTATTTTTATAAATGGGGGATTTCAAACTAAATCAAGCCAAATAAATATTATGTAAACTTTCATATTTTTTTATTACTTTGTATATTTTTCAAATAAAGTTGATCTCTAGAATGATACAAAGGTATATATTAGTTGTAGAAAAATGTAAAAGTAATTTACACAATGCCATATTTCTAATGAAGATTGTGTTGCTTGTATTAAAACTTATATAATAAAAAATATATGTATATGTAAATGCAGATTAATTCCATCATTCATGAATTTAATGTTTGCAAATAAAAACATATTTCTCTTAGTTTAAATTATAAAGTTTTATGAACTGGCAGTATATTGTAGTCATGGAAATTGCTTTCTAACATCTTAGTTATTAATTTGTTAGCATTCTATCTTAATCAAAAACTCAGTTGGTATTGTAATTTTGCTCTTTCCAGAAAAAGAGAGAGGGAAACAAACAAAAAAACCCCAAACTTAATAAAAACTGAAAGGCAGCTTAATTTATACTCAGTTAAAAGACTTTATGTGGCCTGGCCAGTGTAACTCAGTGGTTGAGCATTGACCCATGCACCAAGAGGTTGCGGGGTCAATTCCTAGTCAGGGCACATGCGCAGGTTGTGGGCCAAACTCCTAATGGGGGCCATGGAGGAGGCATCCAATTGATTTTCTCTCTCATCGATGTTACTGTCTCTCTCTCCCTGTCCCTTTCTCTGTCTCTGAAACTCAATAAAGAAAAAAAAAAATAAAAAAAAAAGACTTTATGTGTGTTTTGCCACAGGCAAATTTTATAACCAACATTTCAGATTGCTCATACGAAAGCATGTATTTTCTTTCTTCAAAATGATTTAAGGTACATTCTCTTTTCTATCATATTCTGCATATTGATTGAGAAAGATAAAATCTTTTACTTTTGCCTGGCTGGTGTGGTTCAGTGGTTGAGTGTTGACACATGCACCAAGAGGTTGCCGGTTTGAGTCCTGGTCAGGGCACATGCCCAGGTTGTGGGCCCAATCCCCAGTAGGGGGCATGCAGGAGGCGGTCAATTGATGTTCTCTCTCATCAATGTTTCTATCTCTCTCTTCCTCTCCCTAAAAAAAAAATCAATAAAGAAAAAACTTTTTTTAAAAAAAACCTTTTACTTTCAAATGTAATTTGTTTGTGGGTGTTTTTGTGGAATCATGAAATTTGATTTGTCCATGACACTTGGCAAAACAAAACAAAACAAAACAAACTTTATTGAAAAATCCCACTTTATGTATAGTTAAGTCACAAGTCAATCTATCAGATCTTCTTGTTCTGTTTCAGCTGAATCTGCAATAAAAGAAATTTAGAGAGTTGGCAATGGCTGATAAATATGTGCAAAGAGTCTATTTTTCAATGGACAATGTAGATCCAGATCCCAGGAGGGTTAATTTTATTTCATCTAAAAATGAGAAAATGGCAAATTCTTTCATCCTGAAGGTAATTCAGTATTGTTTGTATTTGTGATGTTTAATTTTATGTTAATCTAAAATATTTGGTAACTTCCAGTGCGTCCATGAATGAAAATAATATTTCTATATAAATATAATTTTATTAGAAAAATATAGTGTTTATATAATTGATGCTGACTTAATGTACAAATCTGTATTGTTTAATACCAATAACTATGTAAAAGTCCATTTTTGTGGAATATAACTGCAAGTTGATACACTTTTCCTTCTTTATATAAATAATATATATGGGCTTAAAAATATACAAATCATTAAACATTGCATAATTGTTTCTGCTTGCTCTTTATTCTTATAAAAATGCAGAAAAAAATCTCATTTGTAGAGGGAAAATAAGAGTAATTTAAAGACTTTTGTTTTTGCTTAACTAAAATGCTATCAATTGTTTTTTTAACTCAATTATCTAAGATATTTCCATTTTTAAGAAATGATTGCATCAAAAGGAAAGGACCCTGCTTTTAGCTCATTTGGAGAGCAAATAATTAGGTACCAAACTGTGCATTATTATATTGATGTCTTATAAAAACATGTAATACACAAATATAGGGGAAGATATTACATTCAGTGATAAATACAAGAAAGAAAAGCTGAAAGTTAAGTATATCAAATGTCTATTAAAAAAAACAAATGGAAGATGTGTAATAAGACTCCTAAAAAATACAATTGTATCAAGACCTAGAAAAATTGGGAAATATACCATGTCTATAGATAGAAAGAAGGTATTATAAAGATATTATCTCCCAAACTCATCTACTTTTAATTAATTCTATCAAAATTCCAATACAGATTTTTACTAAATTTGAAAATATGATTCTAAAGAAAGTAAATGTAGGAGCTAAAGGTAGCTGGAATATTTCTGAGAAATAACAGAAAGAAGGAATCTGTTGTATCTAATTTTAAGAGTTTTATGAAGATTTAGTTAAGATAATTACTTTGGCATGGAGACAGATGGCAATTGAAAAACTTAGATCTACACATAGCAAACTTTGGTATATGATAAACAGAGCATGTCAGATAGCAGGGTAATAAGGGACTTTTCAGTAAATGGTGATAGGGAAAATGCAACTCATGGGAAAAGATGTAGTATAAAATATATTAAAAAATCAACTCAAAATTGATTATGATCTTAAATATCAAAAAAACTTGAAATTGTTATTATAAAATATATGTAAATATCTTTCAGTTCTCAGAGTAGAAAATGTTATATTAAATAAGGGGGACAAAACAGTGACTATAAAAATAAATTGTCAGCTTAACTTGCTCAAAATTTTAAACTTGTTAATTAAAAGACACCTTTATAATGAAAAAATATAAATTACAAACTGGGAGAAAATGCTTGCATCATATAGAACCAACACAAATAAATATTAAAATTAAAATATATAAAGAACTCCTACAAATCAATAAGAAAGCACAAAGATTTCAATAGAATCAGGGTAGAGATAAAACATTTCACAGAAGATAAAATACACTTATCCAATAAGTACACAAAGGCATGATCAACATTATCAAAGAATAGAGAAATAAAAATCATCACCATAAGGAGATACTCTTTTACGCCATTTAATTGATAAAAATTTCTATCAATAGCAGAAACTTGAACCAATTTAAATGCTCATCAAATGAGTAGACATAAAACGGCCATATCATAGAAAGAATATTGTATACTATTCAAAGATAATAAACCACAGAGACCTACAACAATATAAATAAGTCTTACCAAAATAGTATTGTGAACAGATCCAAAATCACAGCAGAGGATGTTTCTTTATTATTTAAACTAAACATATCTAATATAATTTAAATATATATACCAAAGAACATATGACATATAATTAAAAGTTATATAAACAAGAAAGCTTGATTTTCATCAGGGGACAGAAATGAGGAAAAAAATGGTTAGAGTCAATTACTGTTTTCAGTGGTAGCTTTGAAGGTGCTTATTACATGATTTATAATATCTAAATAGTTAAATTCTAGTTTTAGATAATTAATTAAGACAAGTGGGTTGTACTCTGGCCTAGATTAGACAATATCTATAAATAAAATTCCACTCTGAAAATTCAAAGTATCCATTATAAGACCAATTACATTTAAGAGTATAATTAAAATAACTTTAGAAAATTTATGACAAAAGACAAACTTGATAGTAGATGATGATAGGGCCCAGGTTTATATACAACTGTGATATAAAAGAAACATATTATTAAATCTTTCTAGTCTTCTCTTTATTTTTCCTGAGTCCTTTTGGTTTCTTATTTATTTCTATTCCCAGTGGTTAACACAGTGCTTCACACATAATAGTGGCACAATAAATGAATAAATGCACAGCATCCTTTCTACTCTTTCCTTCTTTACATTTCTTGTGAATACTATCATAATATTGTTCTTCTCCTTCCTTATTAAAACTTAATTTTAGAAAAGATTCCATGTAATAAATTAAATTATGCATATTTTTGTATATATAATAAAGCTTCAGATATCACCACTTCCAAAGTTCATGACAATGGTTTTTATTAAAATTTAAATAATGAGCATCCCCAGGCTGCAGCAGCACAGATCCACAGCTGAGACCATTCCCCAAAAGCATCAGGAGAGGCTGAGCAGGAGCTGAGCTCCACCAGGCAGCAGAGCTCCCCAGCCACCAGCAGTGGGACACGGGGCTCCAGCGCGGCCAGTGTGATACAGAAGCCTGCAGCACAGGTGGAGAGCTTGGCTTCATTGGAGCCCACATGATACATCAGCAGTGCCTACCAAGAGAAACCAAAACCAGCCACTAGCAGCCAATCCTCCTGGACCCACAACAGACAAGAAGCACAACACAGCAGAACAGTCTGGGAGGCATAAAAGCCTTATTTGATACACACTAACCTGCCTACACATCCCAACATCCCTCACCATGTCTAGAACTACGAGAAGGCTAAAATGGGGAGACAAAGAAATAATACCCAAATGAAAGAAAAGGAGGAATAACCAGAAAAAGAACTACATGAAATGGAAAAAAGCAATTTGCCAGATAAAGAATTCAAAGCAATGATTTTAAGGGTGCTCAAAAAATTTAGTGAGAACTACAAGCAACTTAATGAGAATTATAGAGAAACTACATCAGCTTAAATAGAGAGGTAGAAGCTATGAATAGAAATCAAGAGGAAATAAAGAATAACATACCTGATATGAAAAATACCTTAGAAGGATTCAATACATTAGAATAATCTGAAGACTGAATCAGTGAGTTAGAAGACAAGGTAGAAAAAACACCCAAATAGAGTAGCAAATGGGAAATAAAATTAAAAAAAACAGGAGGAGAGTTTAAGGGAGCTTTAGTGCAAGACAAAGTGCAACAACATAATCACACGGGTTCCAGAAGAAGAAGAATCAGAGAAAGGACTAGAGAACCTGTTTGAAGAAGTAATAAAAGAAAACTTCCCTAATTCAGTGAAGGAAAATGTCACACAAGTCCAG